TCTTCAAAGTCTGAATTAACTTTGACTTTGAAACATGATCAGATGCTTCTTTTATATCAATAAAAACTGGAGTTGAGATCAGATCTTCATGCTTTGCTATTTGAATATTATGAACAACTGAGAGAACAGTGTCAATTGCAGAACATTGTTTTCTATCTCTCATTTATTCACTGAATAAAAGAGAGTTATTAATAGAGCTAATAAAAGATAGTTAAGTAGCTATTATCTTTTTCAAAATCTTTTCTAGACAGTTTAATAGAGATATTACTTTATATGACTTAGGAATTGAAGTTTTTCTATTAGATTTTACAAGAATTACTCCAGTGACTTCTCTTCAGCATTCAGAATGATATTCATTTTTCAAGAGATTGAAAAAGAGCTCAAAATATTCATTCTTTAAGTAGAAATATGTATTTTGAATAATCAAGTGATTAATTGAATCAGGCCCTGCAGCAGTTTTAACAGAACTTGAGAAGATAGCTGACTCTAATTCATCTTGTGTAAGATCAGGTCATTTCCAGTCATTTTCATCAATGTAGTTGAGAAGTGATATATTCTCTTTCTCTGAATCTGAATCTGAATCTGGTGAATTCTGAAAGAGAATTCTTATAAAAGCTTGACATTTTTTCTCAAAAGAGTTTGCTGTATATGATTCATTCTGAAACTCATATTCTAAGACTGAAAGTTTTGCTACACTTCTTATTTTAGTATAGTTAAAAGCTTTAAAAACTTCCTTCTCTTATACTTCTTCAAGAAATTTATTTCAGTAGTCTGTTTTAGCTCTTTTAATATCTGAAAAATATTCATTTCTGACAGCTTTGAACTCTTCATCAGATATTACATCATTCTTTCAATCTCTTCTAACAGTAGCTAATGCTTTTCTTTTAGATGAGATATTCTCATTTCATCAAGATTTTAAATACTCAGAAGATTTTCTCTTTGAAATATTATCTCTAACACTTGTTAGAATAATAGATATAATAAGCTTCACTCTATTCTCAAGCATTTCATTTGAGATATCTTGACCAGAATTTCAATATAGCTCATTCTGTCTTTCAGATTTTAACAGTTTTATGCTTTCTTCAACTGCTTTTCAATCAGCTTTTTCAAAGTTAAACTGATTAGAGAGAAGAGGATTTTCACTCATTTATTTTTCACTCAGTTCAATATTAAATTCAATAATCTCATGATCTGATTCTGATGTCTCATTTAAATCAATAAATCAGTTTACAAGTCTTCTTTTCATTAGATTTTGTAACATGAAGATTAGATCTATAATAGATTTCTGTTTCATATCTTTTCTAAAGAATGTTTGTTAATCAGACTTATTAACCAAATCTATTGAATGCTCAAAGATTCATTTAATCAGATTATCAGCTCTCACTGCTCTCTTGTATTCTGAATTTCATCAGAGATGATATGCATTGAAATCTCCTGTAATTATAGAGTTTCTTAATGAAGTTATGTTCAGAAATTCTCTATTAATTATTCAGATATTGTTATTTTTCTTCAATAACTTTTTATTATAGATATTTATGAGCTGTATAGTATCAAACTCATTTTCTTTATCTATAATATCACTCACCAGAATATCAGGGTCAGACATGATATCAAATCTTAGATTAAATTGATATCTTGATCTCTTTCTTTCATAGATCACTACTCTTGACTTTATCTCAGACTTTTAAGATAGAAAGCAGTAGTAGCTTGAATGAGAAATGATGTAATTTTGCTCAGCATCAAAATTCAGTTTCTGAAGTAGTATAAAATCAACTTTTTATTCAAATACAATTTGAAGACAAGAATAAATACAATTTGAGTTTCTATTCACATTATTTTGAATAAATGTGATTTTTAAAGAGTTTTTAAACTTTTTTTATTGTTTTTGTTGTAAATTCATACTAAAAGAGAGTAGAGATAGAGTAGAATCTAGTCACTATCATCAGATAGTAGATTATAACTATTTTGAAAAGTAGAGATCTCAACTGCTTACATTATATCTAGTTAATCATCAGAGTTATTTCTCAATTCTCTAATCTTAACAGAAGTTTGAGAATTCAAATTCTATTTACATTTAGCTGAAGAATTGAAGTTTGAAGATTTAAATAGTTGAGAGTTTCTTCTTTTTAAGCTTGTAGTTGTAAGTCTACTGACTTGACTCTTCTCTTCAGTTCTAGATTAACTTTGAGCTTTATCTTTTCTTCAGTTCTTTTGAGTTCTAGAAGTAAATGTATATTCTTTTGAATTAAATGCATGTTTTTCTTCACACTTAGAGCACTTAAGCAGAGTGTATTGACATATTTCATCTCTTTTTAAGCATATTTCACATTTATGCTCACTACTTTTATGATCTCTGGCACAGAATGCACATTTTGAGTCTCTAAAACATGAGATTATAAAGTGTTCATATCTTTGACAGTTTGAACACTATGTTTGAGCTTTGAGATTCATTCTTGAGTCTTTATATTCATGAACTCTCATTTTCAAATCTGCTACTCTTACTTCAGAGATCTTTGACTGTTCAAGTGTTTTTATATATACTAGAATAGAGACATTTCTCCTACTTTGTCTGAACTCAATTGAATTTAGTTATACAGACTTCTTTCTCAGTTGAATAGAGTTGTATTCTTTCAATTCATTTTTGAGAAGTAGCATTTCTTCTTCACAGTCAAAAATTTCAACTGAAATATCATGAAGAATGAATTTGTCTCACTTTTCATCTCTTTCAGATAGAATTATTGTGTTTAAAAAAGATTCTACTGCTGACTTTCAGAGATTCTTATTCTGAATAAGGAATTCAGCACTGAATTCAGACATTGTAGTCAGAATGATGAAGTTTTCAAAGAATAATAACTCAATTGAAGCTATGACTGATTTTTGAACTTCAATATCAGTCATCAACTGAGAAAAGAACTGCTGATTAATTTTATTTCTGATTCTGAAAATGAGATTTGAGTTTAGCTTGTTTCTTTACAGAATGTTCTGATTTGAGACTTTGAGAATAAGTCTTCTATTTCTGAAGATTTGAAAGTTTTTCTCTTTTTACATTTTCTTTTTCACTTTTCTATGAATAGAGGTATGAGCAGTATTCTTCTCAGTTTTCTCAGGATTTTGAGCAGGTTTTGAGACAGCAGATTTAGAGATAGCAGATTCAGCTGCTTGAGTATATATTTTCTTCTGATTCAAAGAAGAAGAAGAAGTAGAAAAAAAAGAAAAAGAGTAAGATGAAGAGTCAGTGATTATACTAGGAATTTTCAATGTTTTTTTAAACTGTGTTTGAGATTTCAAGTTTGAACTTAATCATCTTCTGTAGTTGTCTAGCCTGAGCATGAAGAATTAACAGAACTTCTTTATTCATCTCACTCAGACACTGCTTTTCAAGAATCTTGCTTACTTTTTCAAGTTTCTGTATTTCAAGAACTTGTTGTTTCTCTATTTCTTCTTTCTTTTTTCTCTTCAGAATTTCAATCTCAAAAATAGCATTTGAGAAAGCATCTTTTTCCACATCAACTGAGTGTATTTTTGAACTCATTATTCTCACTTAATGAAAAGTTGGTCAGACTGTTTCACTTGAGATATTTCTAAGTCTGTTTTCAATTGAAAAGTTGGTCAGACTGTTTTAAAAGAAGAATAAAAGACTTTTGTGTATAAAACACCTGATTTTTTTCACACTAGTTCAGTAACTAGATTAGATTTTTGAAGAGAATGTAATAAACTAAAATTGATTTTTGAGATAAATCAATAAAATCTTTACAATCTCTTTCTTGAGATACAGTGAGAAAGACTATAATATTAATTGATAATGAATCAGATAATATGACAGTTTTTAAGAGAAAAACTGATAAAAAATAAATCAATTTTTTGCAGAGAAATTGATTAAAACTATTCAATTTTATTCTAAATCATTCAATTCTTCTCACACAACAAGTGTGCAACTCAAATCAGATAATAAAGAGTGTAAAAAAGAATTAAGTATTAATGAAAGCTCTTCAGTCAGTGAAAAAGTAATTCTTACTTAAAAGAATATGAAATTATGATAGAAAACAGCTCTGTTTTTTATTCTTTGTAAGAATATTGTATAAAATTCAGAGAAAAACATCTTACTTTTTTAAGAGAAGTAAAAAACTATTTCTAAGATCTTTTTTTTTTGCATTAACTGCTATAGAAGAATGAGATAGAAACTGCTAAGATATATACTACTATATACTCTCTATCAAGACTTTCTCTCTTCAGAGTCTTGATATTATAGAGAATATAAGTCTGTTTCTATATAATAATATAAATATTATCAGCAGAATGTAGAGAAACTGGTTATTTATATCTCAAAATAGAAGACTTTATCAATGATTATATTAATATAGAGTTAATTCTCAAATTTAATAGAATTCTAGTATTGCTGTTCTCAATCTCTTACAGAATCTATTGAATATTGAGATATTAAAGCTAGATTTAATATATCTCACTGTGTAGAGATCAAAGACTCAGTCAGATCTTGAGATATACTGATTTTATAGTTATTATATCTGCTGATTATATATTAAGTACAGTTGCTGAGATATCTTTTTGTACTTTTCTGTCAGAGATGAGCCAGATTGAGAGAGGTGATACAAGGGTGAAACTTGGCATTAATGTCTAGATACACTGAAGACAGACTGTGAAGATTGCACTTCAGAAGTAGCTGTTGATTATATACTTGATATTATTGCTGAGGTATCTTTTTGTATTTTTCTGTCAGGGATGAGCCAGATTAGAAAGGGCGGTATGAGGGTGAAACTTGATGTTGGTGTTTTGGAACATCAAAGATGAACAGGGTTTTCACAGAGATCACTTCTCAGATATCTCCACAACTACAGATCAGGGATCTTCCAAAATTGAGAAGATTGGTGCATATGGCTAGGTCTCTTCACCTTACAATTTGTATGGCAATTTGGCCCGGGGTTGTGGTGTGGTAGGGGAGAATGGGGGATAATCCCACACAGGAGTTTCAAACGATGTCTGGTTCACATTTGGCTGGATAACTTCACCACCACACGGGGTATGCGGTCGGCGATGGGGTCAAAATGCTCGTATGATCGAGGGCTTTTCGATGGATCTATCGGCGGGTTCTTATTCGAAATATCGAGCGAGTTCGTGGTGGAGCGGTGCTTGAATTGAGAGTAGGTGTAGTAATCACCAACAGAAGGGCTGATTCTCTTGGAGAATAACATTGTTGTGTTATGTTGTAATCTAACTACGCGAGTTACACTAAATGAATAGATTAGGGTAGCACATGACTAGAGTAGGTGTAGTAATTATCAACACCTCTTCTTGCTACATCATGATCTATAAGCCGTCACTCAGAGCCTTCTTCATTCTTAAATCTTTTCAAAATACAATAATAATTAATTACATCAATCAGACTCTGGTTTTCTTATTAGAAAAGATGTTCATACAGTAATAATCATAAAAATCAAGAAATACATGCAAAATTCACTGATTCACTGTATTATTATTATCATTCAATCATTTCTTTCTGATCTCTTTCAAATCAATTCTTTTGATAAAATCTTCAAGCACAGGCTTTGTCAGTGACTTGATAAGCCTGTCAGCTATATTCACTGTAGAATTAACATGTTTCATCATGATTTTCCCTTTTTTAATCAAATTATGAAGAATATGATATCTAATCTTAATATGATATAATCTTCATATTAACAATTCCTCCTTTGCTAGATCAATTGCTCCCTTATTATCAACTCATAGATATAAGTATATTTTCACTTTTTCATCATTCATTAACTCAGTATCATATAACATATCATTCAATCAGATTATCTCACAAGCTGTTCTTGCTAGCTGTAATATATTCAGCTTCTGTGATTGATTTGATAATAAATGTCTCTCTCTGCAATCATTATAAGATTGATGACTCATTAATCAATATAATATAGTCAGTAGTCAATTTGTATTAAGAATTCACTCTCACTCAGTCTGAATCACAGTATATTATAGAACTCAGACTCATATCACTGATCTTCTTTCTATATAATATGTTATGATTTTTCATCTTCTTGACATAATGTAGAACATGCTTCAATGCTGCTCAACATACCTTGTACAGATATGAGTTAAAATGTGAGAGATAGTTAACTGTGAATGTCAGATCTGACTGGCTACTTGAGATTAAATATTGCAATAATCTTAATTCTTGATAATATCTCATAGCTGTAAAGTTATCATTCAATCTCTCTCTCTCATCAGATGAGAATTTCAGTTGTATACTGACTATTATCAGAGTGTCAGCTGGATTTATCTTATTCATGCTGAAATCTTCAAGAATCTTCTTAATATAACAGCTCTGTGTAATCACTAGATCATCATTTCTCTGGCATTTAATCTTTATCTCAAGATATGACTTGATCTCTTTGACATTCTTTGTCTCAAATCTCTTTGCAATCTCTCTTAATACTCAGTCTAATTACTGTTCTTGAGATCTCATTACCTGACAATCATCAACATGCAATGTCAGATAGATCTTGTGAATAGAGTGATATAGAAATTCATCATTATAAGATGATATCTTAAATCTCAATATAGTCAGATACTCTGTTGCAAGAAAATATCATACTCTTACAGCTTGCTTCATTTTATATAGACTCTGACAGAGTAATCTCATCAAGTTCTCTCTGTCAAGCTTAACATCTGTGAATAGTTATATATAGATCATCTCATTCTATGATAGTATATCATTCAAAAACACAGATACATAGTCAATTGATTTGATCTTTCATTCTTTAACAGTTGATATAGTGAATAGACTGTATGATGTAGACTCTGATATCACTGCAGCATATAATCTCATATAATGAATACTCTGCTATTGCAAGAACTCTCTAATCACTCAGTGAGCTCTAAAGCAGATGATTTCTCTCTTATTATTGAATTTTCAATCATATACTCATTTATCTGTAAGAATATTCATTTTCAGAGTCTTCTTAATAATAATATATATCTTCTTCTATTCAAATATCTTAATCTTCTTTTTTATTATCTCATGTCAATAGTCTCAGTCTGAGCTTCTCTTAGCTTTCATCAGTGTAGTTAATCAGTCTGTCAGAATACTTAGAACAGAATTATTCTTATTAATAGAGTCTTCAGACTCTTCATTCATGACAAGCTGTGTCTTATTATTTAGAAGATAGATTGAATTAATTACACTCTCTAAGTTCTTATTTACAATTATCTTCAAAACATCTGACTTTTTCTTTATAAGATGTCATAGTAAGCAGTGCTGTCATCTCTCTCTGATATTCAGAATATTCAATTCATTAGATAATTCACTGAATTCTCTCATCATATTTACAGATGTATTTGCACTTATATCAAGAGCTTTATTAAATATAACATCTCATGCAATCTCAAGACAACATGTAACAGGATTTCACACACAATATTAATGTAATTCTTGATATTCAATTAGCTATTATTTCTTACTGTCAGTTCTATCTATGAGCTTATTCAACACTTTTAAATTCTTCTTGTAAATCTTGCACTCTTATCTCTGTATTCAATGAACAGAAGATTACACCTCAGTTCATGCTTTAAAAGATATAAGTAATATTTCTTTCTTACATTCAAATATCTTTATTAATGTTGAGAATGTGTTAATTATCATAATTATAACTTGTATTACTTCATCTCAAAGTTCTCTTTCTAATTCACTATTAAATAGTAGACTTCATATCTTTTCTATAACTATTCAATTCACATGTTTCACTGAGTCATTTGATTATAATATATCAGATATAGTCATTTCATATGCTATTTCTTTGCTCTGATAGTAAATCTTAAGTTCTTGACTTTTAAACTCTTCTTCATCATCTCAGTGTAGAATTTTAACTTAATATTATATAGTTATCTTAATATCTGTGATGAAATTCATTAATCTTACAGTAGATTCTCTCTTTCTTATTATAAGAATTGCTCATCTATAACAGATTATATTGTCTGTTATACTCAATCAGTAGCTTACACTCTCTCTAGTGAGAGTGTCATTCTTATTAAAAAGTGTTTTTTCATCCTCTGTCAGATTAATGAAGAATCTCATTACTAACTTAACAGCTTATGTTATAGATACAAAGATTGAATATATCATTTTTACCTGAACACAGACTTTGCAGAATGATAAAGCTTAATAATCAATAATTCTCATTTCTAGGCATGAATCTGCTGTTATTTTTACAATATCTGTGAGATTTAGATGTTCTAGCTTTTAATATCATTATATTATCATAAGTTCTATAAACTTTATATCATTTCTTTCAGATAATATTAATATTGTGTCATCTTTCATCTGTAATGTGTTCACAGATTCAAAATCATTATTAAGTATAGTAAACTAAATCAAGTCTCTGTATATAACTTATCTTTTCATCTCATAGATATCATTCTTATTTAATCTTACTATAAATGAGAATATACAGTCAGAAGACATAATCAACATAGCATGATTATTCTTATATATTAACTGCTTATAAGTATAACTCTGATATACAAGCTTATTCATACTCATGAGATTCACTTCTAACTTCAGAATATAGTGAATATCATTTAACAGTATATCTACTTCTTTCACTGAAATCTTCATATCTTCTATAGCTGTAGCAGAAATCACTGTTCTGTCTGTTATTTTCAACATCACTTTCATCTTCTGAGATTTTATCATGATAAGATCTCTGTGAGATGTGACATGAGCACCTGATTCAGAGTCTAAAATTCAGATATCTTTTTCTATCTAGTTACTCATATAGGTCTTTTCTTTGATACAAAATACTTGCTTTATAACATTGTAAATAGAAGCAGTATCTGTATTCTCTGCATTCTTATCTTTATTCTTATTTCTATTTGTATTGAAGTTTGAAGAATGTTTCTCAGAGTATTTCTTTCAACAGTCAGTCTGAATATGACTAATCTTTTGACAATGATAGCAGATTCTTGTATTATTATCTCTATATTCAGATTTAAATTCAGTGTTCTTATTCTTATCATTGTCTTTCTCTTTATTCTTATCTTTCTTATTCTTATCTTACACATTGTTGATAGAATTTCTAGACACATCAGTATTTACTTCATTTATAGCAGAGAGCTGCAAAAGAATATCACAGTACAGACTTATAAAATCATTCTCTAAGAGTTGAGTATTATCTTTGTTAATTTAATTCATTCAGTTTCTTATAAATGAGGCTCAATCTCTGTTGACTTCTGTAAGCAGTCTGTTAAAAAACATGATATTCAGAATCTCATATTCTAGTCAGATATAATCAGTTCTTATGATAATCAGATATTCAATGAAAGTGTGATCTGAATCTTTTAACTTAGCAGTCATGTTAATCAGTTTCTTAAATAGACAGATTCTGTAGATAGCAGATCTCTCAGAAAAGTTATTCTCTATAATAGTTCATAGAGTATAAGCAGACAACTTGAATTTCTTAAGTATAGTGAAATAAGTCTTGATCTGCAGAGTAATTGCAGATCATATGTAATTATATAATTAAAAATTATATTCTTTTCAGAAATATTATATGTTTATAGTAGCATACTTATCAAGATCATTATCTTTAAGAAGATCATTAGTTTCAGACTACTCTGTAGTTAAAAGAATTTTCTCTCTTCACATTGAGTAGTTAATAAATTCAGTGAGAACTATCAATCTTTTGATAAGTCTTAATTAACTTCTGAATTCTTCAAGAACTTTTATTATAACAGATATCTTCTCTTTTCATTGAAGATATTCTGTCAGATTCACTCTCATCTCATTACTTACAAGAATCTCATCTCTACTGATCTTCATACACTCAATCTTATGCTGAAGTCTTACAATTTCAAGTCTTATATAAGTCTTCTCACTCACTGAGCTATTATTATTTCAGTTACTTAAGTCTTCTGCATTATCTAATATCTTACTGATATCTTTAACTGAATCTTTATATACATTGAACTTATCAGACTGTTCTTCTGCAATGATTTCATTCAGCTCAAACACTTCTAAGACAGTCACTTTTCAGTTTATTATAGATATTGATAAGCTCACACTCAATTCTTCTTATACTTCAGATATTTGTGAATTTCTTCTTCTACACATTGATATGTAATTCTTCATTAAGTCAGGCTTTTCACCTGATCTCAGATTCATCATAGATTTAATTAATTAATAAATCATCTAAACATG